TTTTTTCCCACTCACCTGTGAAATTGGTATATGTCTCCTTACACAATCATCTTTTGTATTGTACATTTCCTTAATACATAGCGGCAGGAATAGTTTTTGCTTTTCAAATGTAAAATCTTCACCAACTTAGGATGTTACGTGATAAACAAACTCAAATTAATTCAGAAATCCTTCACAGGGTTTTGATGAAGGGATCGGATATCTCAACACCATGTGTGATTTTGGGGATGGTGTGTTCAAGGTTACATTTTCTTACATGGAGCCTAAGAGGTCAAAAAGTTGGACTCTTGTCCTTCCTGTTCCCAGGACCCTTCTGCTACATTTGCTCTGTTTCTTACAAGGCCTGCAGTGAACTAACGTTTCTCTCTAAAATAGCTTTATTTGATCTGCAAATGTCATCTTAATAAATTGCTCGACTAAGACGTCTTGTTAACAGGTTATCGCCTCCAGATTTGTGGATCTCTGCAGTTCCTCTAGAGCAGGCATCCCCAAAGTCGGTCCTTGAGGGCCGCTGTCCTGCAGGTTTTAGAGGTCTCCCTGCATCAGCACAGCTGATTTACATTCATAGTTGATTAACAGGCTTTTGCTGAACTGAAATCATCAGAATCAGCTGTTCTAAAGCAGATAAACCTCTAAAACCTGCAGGTCAGCGGCCCTGGAGGACCGACTTTGGGGATGCCTGCTCTAGAGTTTAGGCCAAAACACACAGGATCCAAAATCAAAGAGAAAACTGGATTGTGTGAGGCCCGCAGCAAATAAAATATATTAAAGGGATCGAGGAGGCAATGACTGCTTAACGTCTGAATCAGGCTTTTGAGATCGACTCTGCAATTGTATAGGAAATTCATGAGTAAAAACGGCAAGTAAAGACACAGTGGCAAAGTAAAACATGCACCTTTGGGGAAATTTCAAACCAAAGCTACATAAACTAATGTGCAAAAGTCTATTATACAGGCTCGCATTTTGTGCAGATGTGGCTCATTGGAACAGACCTAAACATATTTCAAATAATAACCCCCTGGAAGTAACGTAATGTCAATAAAAGTAACGAAAAATAAAACAGCAATTTGGTTTGAGCTTTTTCATGTAACAGCTGCAGGTTTTTTTTTTTATTCACTCCAGGCCTGGTTACCCTCACATGGGTCTGAAGATCAGTTCATGGAGCCTCTACTAAGAGCCAGTATGTTTGGAAGAAAATAGGTTGGAACTTGGAACTGCTTCTCTGGCTTTTTGTTTTTACATTGATCCCAAACCAAAGAATCTGATAAACTCCTTTTGTTTTTTTTTTGTTTTTCTTCACCAATAATCTCTAGCAAAGTTATGAGACCCATCAAAGTGAAGCTGTGTTGATTCTGACGTTTAATTACCTTTCAGTATACCAGATATTTCTCTGCAAGTAGAAGCAGGAAGATCTACATTAACTCACTGTTACAACCTACATGTACATTTTTTTCATTGCATACAGAATTAACTTTGCATTATTTAAGCCTAACCCCCCCTCTTCTGACTGTTTATGCTTGTGAAGAAATTTATAGTCCAGTGCTACAGGGTAATGGGCCTATTGTGGTTTTGCCCCATCAGCTGCCGGTCTCCAGACACTCGTTTGGTGTTGGCCCTGGCCAAAGGTGCTGCATTAAAGCCATTTGCTCTTGTCTTGATAATTCTGATGAACACCAAGTAATTGGTATCAGGAGGATGGATGGTTGTGATCTTAAAAGGTAGATTTCACATTTTGCAGATGTTATTGGGGATAAATGAATAAGCCTGTTCAGTTTGGATTTTACAAGGAAATTGCTGCTTTATTAGATGATGTGAAGTAGCAAGCATTTATTAATACCCGCCCGTCTGTGTTTGTTTATGCTCTTAATAACTTCAGCCTCTCTGTTCACTGATCTGTCTTATCACACTAAGTTTTATTCATTTTGATTGGAAATAGCTGGATTAAAATTGCACATGTCTACAGGGATAGCTTGATTTTTATTTATTTCCCCCCCCAAATAGATCAGAATTGTTTTTTTCTAAAACACACTCCCCTTTTAAACCTCCTTCCATTTTGGACCAATCCAATCCTTCATACAATGGGCACTTTGTTCATGTTTAGCTGCAACATTCTAGTTAGGAAAAGCTTACTGTGACACAGAGTGAAGCCCATTTCCAGGGCGATCAGGCTCCCAGCACGTTTCTACCAGAGATCCAGTGAAAATAGCCTTAAGCCCTTGGTGTTTAATAAGAGGCGTGAGGGGGAAGTTAAATGACCTCACATGAAGCAGAAACAAAGAGGCCTACCTCTCCTGCAGAAGGTTTTATCAGCTTTTAACTCTACAAGAAGCCGGTCCCAATCCTTTGTTTCACCATGATCTTCATGATATTCCTTTTCTATTTAACTTTGTCAATCTTTTACCACATTGTCAAGAAATTTGCTGAGGTTTGTTGTGTTTGGCATAATTTTCTCCTTGATGATCAAACTACCAAAGTGGAGTAATTCATTAACTCAAATGGGGAAAAAATATTGTTAGAGTGCCTTAATTTAGATGTATATCTGAAATACAGACTGGATTCAGTGTAAACCTGCAGTACTTCAATGACACAAACCCATTTATGACTGTATGACTGCTACCTTTCCTGTTTAAATAAATAGCAAGAGTGCAATTGCTTCCTCCCACTAGCTTTACCATTTAAGTTTTGTTTTTATAAAATCTCTGGAATCTGTTGTGTTTTTGGGACACTTTAAACCCTATCTTTGTATTATGTGAAGACACATAAAGCCCAGGAATTTTAAAGGACTTTACTTCTTTTTCCCATGCCTTTGATGATGAAAACCTAACCCTGGCCTGATCTCCAAATGGCTTCAAAAGTTTACTTATTTATTTTTCCCTTTAGTTCGTGTCATGAACTAAATTTTAGTTTTTCAATAGAAATGCCAAATTAGGGGTAGATCTGATTTGGAGAAGCTGATCCATAATTGATGACCACACAGTTCTGTTCTTCCAAATAGAAGACAGATGAACCGTGTAACAGAACTTGCGCGATCGCGAGCAAACGGGCTGATATCAGTGACAAATGTGTGGTAAAGTCGAACTAAATCAAAACTATCACTTCATGGATATAGCTTTGGTTTTGTTTGCAGCAGTTATTCTGTCTTTGATGTAGACAGAGATCCAATTCGATAAGGGATGCAGAAATACCATCAAGGCATCCACTGCATTAGAAGTAAGTTAGTTTCTAAATGTACCCTCTGGTATTTTTCCTTTCTTTCATATGCTTGTTGTGCGTCACATTCTGCTTTTGTGTTTTACTACTTCGTGGTGTTATTTTCATCTTTTCTCCCCTCTTTTCCAAATAACTAGTTTTTGTATTTTGCCAATTTTTTTATGATGTAAAGCTGTTAATTATAGGGGAAAAAAAGGTGCAAGAAAAATATAAAAACTTCCTAAGATCATGTAATGACTACAAATCAAACATCTTGTTTCTTCCTGCTAATAAATTAAATAACATTTATTTATATTCAATTCACAACACAAATCATTTAGGTTTTCTATCAAGGATAAAACAACTGACTGCATCAAGTCATTGATTCAACAACAGTTCCTCTTAGCGAGAATGCATGCAGTGACAGTGGAGAGCAAACCCCCCACTTTAACAGGAAGAAACTTCCAGCAGAACCATGCTCAGTGTGCGGCCTTACCGCTGAGCCTGACTGGGGGTTCAAGGAGACGGAAGCAGAGACAAAAAACATGGAAGCATTCATCTTTAAATCATTTCTTTATTAGAAAAGTTAAGTTTAAAGTAGTTCCTTAGGTGGCTCTGTCTAGTAAAGAAACAATTCGAGAGCTCTGAGCCAGTTTTCTTGCTTGCAAAAAATGTAGTTACAGTAAAAGCTGAAGCAATATCTATATCTAGGAGAGAAACAAGGGGAAAAAAAGGCTACGAAAAACAGGCCAACTCTATCTTCTATAAAAGTGTTGATGGCAGCAGCCCAGCTGATATTTTTTACCTGGACGTTGTCACAGAAGAACAGAAGAGATGAAGCTATTATGATGAGAAGAATCAGAGAGAATATGGAGTTAGGGTTGAACTAACAAATTCTTAAGAAAAAGAGATGGAATAAATCTGAAAAATTAAGAGTTGGTGGTCCCTATGTTCTCCGGCAGTCTAAGCCTATAGCTGCATAACTGTAGATACATATAGTTATACTGCTATAGGCTATTGTAGCATTATTTGGGATTTAATATGCTACATTTATTTTAGGTATATATTTCATCTCACAAGATGACAATTGACCAAAATTATGTTTATTTGAAGGACCAAACCTTTATTTTTCTCCGCAAGGATGCACATAGATTCTGGATCCTGATCAGAAATGGGATATATTGACTTAAATAAATCATTTTATACTGTTAATTACATAAATCTAATAATAATCAGTCTAATTTCTATTACCTACTGAAAAATGGCCAAAAAAAGAAAGATAATCCTAATTCTTCTAGCTTTTTTTTAATCAAAGTCAGAGGGGACACTTTTAGAAAAATATGTTAACTTAAAATATTTATATAATTATTGGCTGGATAAGCTTTAGTTTTAATCGGATGTTACCTGATCTTCTACGTTTTCTATCATCGGAGGCTGTTTCTCAGTTTTAGTCTGAAAATGCTTATAAAAAAATATGCATTTGTTTTTTGTTTTTTCTAAATCCCATACTGGAGGTTGTCACATCAACTGTTTCAAAGTGGTGTAGGCTTCGTTAATCCTTTATTTTTACATTTTTTTTTAGATAAGTCCTATGGTAAAGACAACAGGGCTGTATTTGGGGTACTTCATTTCGTTCTTCAAAATAAGAGCCAAATATTGACCGCCACAGGATAAGACTTTGCGAACTACACTTCATGAGAATTATCATACTTTATCTATTACGAGTTCTCGGACATCTTGATTAACCTTGTTTTAAAAGACGAGCTGAAATGCAATTAATTAAAGATTAATAAGTTTTTTCCTTTTCAAAGGGAGTGGAGCCACAGCAGTGGTCCAGGCAGCCTACTGTACACCCAGAAAAGAGAAGGTTGCCATCAAACGCATCAACCTAGAGAAGTGCCAGACCAGTATGGATGAACTCCTGGTAAGTTACAAGTTTGTACGGTTTGTGTGGTCAAATGTTGCTTCTTGCAAGTTTCAGTTTAACAGCTCTGTCTTCTTTTCATGTGTGTGGAATTTGTTCTACCCCTGCTTCTCATTACTCATTTTCTCTGGGAACATGTCCAATCAATCCTGTCACTTTAGACACTATTCCAGTTGTTCTCTTAAAGAAGGCTCCACTTACAGCCAGGAAACTGCTGGAACAGTTGCTTTGCTGCGTCTTTTTACCAGCCAGTTTAATCCAGTCTTGCACTGCAGCTAAACACATAATTCACTGATAGCCAAGGCAGCTAATGATTTAGCTCCAAAGGACATAAAAAAGAATCCAATGTTTGTATTAAGCTCCAGTTCATAAACTGATGGTGTCATTTATATTTCCCAAAGTATCCTGTATTTGTAGTAACTTACCTCTTAGATTAGAAGAGTGATTATTAATGTCTTTTTCAGGCCTTTTCAGGAACAGGAAATAAATATTGTGTAAGCCTGTAAGCATCTTTCTAAGGTCATGGCCTGAGGAAGCTGCCAGCCAGGTTGCTCAGGACTCAGTGGCGACACTAAATCCTTCCCCAGCCCCCTTTGAATTATACAGGATGAATCAGGGGAATTTCGCTCCCAGATTCTCGGTGCAGGAGGTCACACAGAGTACTGGGCGATCGGATTTCCTCCGTGTGGTTTCCTCCCACAGCTCCACAGCACAGTCAGTGCCCACTTTAAAGGCCAGGATGCACTAAATTGAAGGCAGATTGTCCCATCTGAGAAGTCAGCTTTAAAGTAGACTGCAGAAGGCTTGTTTTTAACAGTGCCTGCAGGTATTTAACATTGTCTCTGAAATTCTTTGATGCTAAGAAAGCAATAGTACATCATTTCTCTGGGTCAGCTTTGGTAGTTTTTCCATGTGAGTGAGTGTAACAGACACTGTGACTCAGTGGAGCAGATGTTGTCGGCACTTCCTTTAAAATGAAACATGGTTAGGCTTATATATTTCCTGTGTAGTTATAATGCCTTGAAATAGTATTCACATTTCTTTAATTTTTTCTTTTTATCAGGTTTTGATGTAATAAAACAACACAGAAACATCTTCTTTACACAGATTAACAGCTTAAGCATTGTATGAATGCATTTATGCACAACTCCTTTCCTTTTTATCATCCCTAAATGAAATTAAGTCCAACTAACTATCTTTAAATCTAGTATAAAGAGTCCCCTCTGTGTAGCTCTGGCTTCATATATTGTTAGGGACATATCAGTGAGCAAAAATCACCGTGAAAACTAAGGAATGCAGAGAAAAGGTCACGGAGAAAGCTGTTGATAGATTTAAAGCAGGGTTGGTTTATGAAACCATGTTCCAAGCTTGAACATCTTGCAGAGCACTGCTTAATCCATCATCTAAAGCAGGAGGAGTTTGGCACAGGTTAACACTTTAGGAGCTGGAGAAGAGTTTGCAGGAGTCGTCCTGTATGCACCGTATGGCAAAAAACCACTACCTGCTGTACAGACCATATCCAAAGTGAGACACGGTGGTGACAGCATCATGCTTTGGGAATGCCTTTCTTCTGTGCTGATAGGAAAGCTAGACAGAATTTAATAGGCTACTCAAAGTTTATTGAGTCCTATTAGGAATTTAAAAGTTCTTATATTTTGATAGAAGGTCAGTATAAATGTGCAATGTTCGAAAGTAATCCTCTAAAAATTTTCAGTCGCTCTATAAAGTATGACTAACAATAACTTTGGAAGTCTGTACAAATTGAGCAAAATTAAAGGCTTTCATTTTTAGAAGATTTTTTAAAACAATGGAAAAGTTTTGCTGTCATGCAAGGCCCCTTGTTAGTCTAGAACTTTACAACTCAAACCAGACACATTGAAGATTGTGTGAACTGTAAAAAGGAGCACCACAGGAATTATATTTTTGCAGGGCACTGCAGGATTGTTTAGATAAAGTGCAGCAGGTATATATTAGATATTTTTGAAAAGGAGTTCAAAGAAACACTAAAACTGATTTTTGATCAGATTTTTAGCTACACAAGTCTTCATTTCTGTTAGATTATTTGTTCAGGCTTGAATTCTATAGATTGGGAGTTAAATGCAACCTTAAATACCAATTTTGCATCAGGATTGTTTATGAGTGCAAAGCAGAAGCACATCAGGTGCCCTTTGAATGACTAATCTGAGCCAAAGGTTGCCTTGACTACTGATGACTTTGCATTAATTCTTTAACTTCATCAGACGGTCCAACTCTAACACAGAGCCAGCTAGAGTTGCCAGCTCTGCTTGAGTGTTTACTGCGAGGGTTTGTTTTTCTGATGCTGGGAGCAGCCGTTTTACCGGGACGAAATTCAGCTGCCTGGCGCCAAGTGGAGACTCGTGTTGCAGGAGCACATGACGACTTCTAGTTGATGCTGTTGGATGTGGTAACGGCATCAGTAGTGGTCAGGGGCTTATTACTGGCAGTCATTTTCTTTGTTGTGACACTTTCTTGGTGAATCACATGGATTTATATTGCATTGTTTCTTTGCTGTAGGATTGTTTTTAATCACTGAATACTCTTAGCATTTAAAAACCTGTGGACTTTCTTTGAATGCATTTAGGATCCTAGATAATAACTGAGATTTTTTAAGAAAATTAGAATTGTGCAACATTTGTCTTTGCATATAGTTTATTTTTTTCAGTGCAGCAATTTCTTAAAAATTTTAATAGTTTTTTGTGTGCATGTGTGGACACTGTTGAATCTTAGTAAATGTGGATGTGAGGCACTCTGAGTAACCAGAGATGATGTAATATTGCCTCTATAGGGGCCTCTGTGTGTGTGTGTGTGTGTGTGTGTGTGTGTGTGTGTGTGTGTGTGTGTGTGTGTGTGTG